TACATAGTCCCTTAATTTCTGTTTATCTGGAAATGACCTAATTTCACCATCATATTTGAATGAGAGTTTTGCAGGATATATTATTCTTGGCTGGGTATTTTTTTCTTTCAAGGTTTTGTATATATCATCCCATTGCCGTCTTGCCTGCATGGTTTCTGCCAAATACTCCAAGCTTAGTCTCATTGTTTCTCCTCTGTATGTGACTTTTTGTTTTTCTCGAGCTGCTCTCAGGATTCTTTGTCTTTGCTTTTAGCAAGTGTGATTATGATATGCCTTGGTGATTTTCTTTTGGGGTCTATCCCATATGGGGTTCGTTGAGATTCTTGGATGGTCAGCTTTTCATCTTTCATGATATTGGGTAAGTTTTCTGTCAGCAATTGTTCAATGATCCTCTCTGTGTTTTCTGTTTTCTCCCCTGTTCTGGAACTCTGATCACTTGCAGATTTTTGCTTTTGATTGTATCCCACATAATTCTCAGGGTTTCTTCATTTTTCTTTGTTCTTTTTTTCTGATTTTTCCTCAAACAGAGTTGTATCCAAGTGTTTGTCTTCAATTTTACTGATCCTATCTTCCATCGTTTAAAACCTGCTCCTCAGCCCCTCTATGACACTGTCCATTTCTGAAATCTTGTTGTTTGTCTTTTGGATTTCTAATTGTTGTTTTTGTATGATTTCTAGTTGTGAACTTATTTTAGCATTTTGTTCCTGTATTATTTTCTTGAATTCTTCCATTTTTTTGTCTGTATTTTCCATGAACTTTTCTGCCTTTTCCATGAATTTGTCTATTTTTTCCTCAGTTTTGTCTTTTTGCTTCAACCCTTGGATAATTCGGAGTATTACAGATTTCAATTCCCTATCAGTTATGTCTAGTGCCTTTTCTTCTACTGGAAGATCATCTGGTGTTTTATTTTTGATGCCTACTGGAATCAGCCTGTCCTGTTTTTGTAAATGTTTTCATATTGTCTGCTGTCTTTGGGGCATTCAGGGTTATTTTCCTCATTTACTGATTGTAGATTTGTTTGTTTCATCCTGCCTTTTTGTTTTATTTGGTTATGTCTGAGCAGGCGGGCTGTCCATTCTTTGTTGTTTGCTCATCTGTGGGCACGACACTTTTCACCTCCTTCTTCAATGGGTAAGGTCAGTCACTCGGGTATGGCACAGCAGGGCAGGTATAGCTGAAGGGGAGATGCTGGGATAGGTTTTTTGTGGCACATACCAGGACTGACAGTGCAGACTGGGAATCAGTGCAGGGCAGGTTCCAGTAGGTCGTGCCTGTGCTTGGGAGTGTGATGTTCAGTGCACAGTGCAGTCAGGCAGGAAAGAGGGAGTAGATTGTGATGTTTGGAGCTAATATGGGTATGGGAAGGATGAGAGAGAGGAGAGAGAACAGGAGCCAAAAACATATACACAAACAAAAAAGAGTGCTTAAGTGAGCTTGCTATTGGAGTGGAGAGACGAGAGACTGAGAAATGGGGAAAAACAAATTAAAAAAAGAAAAAGAGAAAAAGATGAATAAATCAAGAAACTGGAAATGAAGAAAGGCAAAAAGGGAATAAGAGAGAGAATAAAACTAAACAAAGAAATGGGAAAAAAAAACAAGAAAAGGAAATGCCCCCAGCGATGTCCCTGTGCGCGTGCACAGAGTAAGGGACTAGCTTCCAAGACCCATGGTATTGCCTGGCTAGAAGGGGCTCCAAAGCCAAGAAAAGAAAAAGAAAACAAACAAATCAAAACAGAAAAAACAAAAAAGCCCCGGGGGTCCCATCAGCATGGCGACATGGGCAGGGAAGCAGTTTCACAGTCGAGTGGTGTTTTGCAGCCTTTCAGGAAGATGCAAAGATGGCACACGAAGCCAGGCATTTGAGAGAAAGGAGGAGGAGGTGGTGAGAGGTAAGGAAGAAATCTAAATAAGCAGAAAAAAGCAACACCAGCAGCCAACAAATCGCACTCAGGGAGCTGGCCAGTGCGGGTGGGTGGAATCCAAGTGGCAACGGGGGAAGCTCATGCTTCCCGGCCAATAGACTGTGGCTGCAGGAAGCAGAGGAGGCTAAGTGGGGGTGAAGAAGGGTGGGGGGTGGGAAAGGCTATATCGTGGGTTACTGGTTGTTCTGTCTCTTGCTGGAAGCTCCGTGAATCTGCTTTCTTGTACCTCCTGTTTGCTGATCTCCGATAGGAGTCCAAGATGGTGGATCCGTGCTCTGCCCTAGCTGATAGGGGACCTCTGTGTGTATCTCTCCTCTCGCTCTGTTCTCGGTCAGTTTCTTATTCTATTCAGTGCTTGGCTGAGTTCTTTATCTCTTCATTTGATGCTTAGGGTTTCAGGATTGACGTGTGACTCTGTTTGACTTAGTTTTTCTGATCTTTGCTGCAGAGGGATGGCGTGGTGCTTCTGACTCTAGTGCCATGTTGCCCGGAAGTGATCCATTATTGAATATTTTTGATCAAAGATTCTATAGCAGGATCATGATCCAAAGGAGGGCATGACAAAAGAGTTGTAATTCTCCTGGAATCCAGATTTCTGGCTTTCAGGGAGGTTGGGGTAACTCACACAGGTGACTGCCTTTGGGTGTCCTTTTGAACTTCAAGCTTCGAGGAAAAAAAAAAGAAGTGTAAATTTATTGGTCTAACACTCAGGGTAGGGTTGGTAGCTTTAATTCCTACTTATGGTATAGATGAATTGGAGAAATATTTAGGAAATTTATCAATTACTATGGGACAAATAGCAGATGAAGTTGCTAATGGGATGGATTTCTGACCTCATTAAGCCAAGGTGGCATGAGATAACAGAACAACCTTTGATTTTTTATTAGCCAAAGAAGGTGTAGCCTGTGCTGTAGCAAATACCTCTTGTTGCGTTTGGATAAATAACACAAGAGAGGTAGAACAAGATATACACAGAATTAGACAGCAAGCTTTCTGTTTACAAACTGTAACATCCTCACAAACACTAGATTTATTTGGCTGGTTACAATCAGGAATAAGTATATAGCCTAGATCACTATGGCAAGGAATAGTAATATTTTTTGTCTGCATCCTGATAGTATTAGGCACCATAAAACTTATCTTCTATTGTCTGACACACTTAAAAGGCAAAAGAGGATGAGAAGGCAGGAAGGCACAGGAACTAGTCAAATGGACACAGGGAACCCAGGGTGGAAAGGGGAAGTGTGCTGTCACATTGTAGGGATTGCAACTAATGTCACAAAACAATCTGTGTATAAATTTTTGTATGAGAAATTAACTTGAGCTGTAAACTTTCACCTAAAGCACAATAAAAAAATAAATAAATAAAAATAAAAGGCAAAAGAAGGCCTCGGGCTAAAATGTTGATGTAGATTGAGTCTGCTCATTTTGGCAATGCGATTGATGAGAATGTCATTTTTACTTAAGATCCTGGTGAAGAACCAGATGGTATCCAGTGGAAAACCAGCACCGTGAGTTTAAAGAGCCTGCCATAGCCACTATCTAGGAGCCAGACTAAGTCCAGGTATTGATCATCAACGTGTTATATCCAATCTCCAATCAAAAACAGGCAATGATTTAGGAGATAATATTGAAGCCATTATTCCCTGTCCGTGAGTATAAAGAATGTGACCCAGCTGGAGCTGGACTCACAAGGACTCACAAAGACATCAACTGGGCCCTGAGGTATAAAGACAATAGCTAGGACAATCTTGGAAAACATCTTTTAGGAAAACTTTCACATACACAAATCATAAACAGCGCAAAAGGCCCATATACTTTTCATTCTTATCTTTTTCTGTTACCCTTTAGTGAACAGTAAGATTTGTTGGACCAGTGAAGACCCTCCTGACTGTCATTACTGAAACTTGTACTAATGATTATTAAGAAAGACAATTCAAAATGTAGAATCATGGTGATTTAGCAGTTTGTAGCCAATCTGTGAAAAGGTGAAGCTTTCAATGGTTTTTCCCGTTTTGTAATGTTCATATATACTGATGATTCTGTGATGTTCCTTGGACTCAGGGAGACATGGCTCTTGCAGCATGCTTGTCTGTTTTCCCACTTTTGTCTATTCTGTAATATTCCTTGGATTCAGGCAGACATGGCTCTGGCAGCATGCTTGTCCATTTTCCTACTTTTGCCTATTTGAATGTACACTGAATAAAATCTTTCCTTTTGCTTTACAAGAAAAAAAAAAGATTTGTGCTTGCCACACACAGTTAAAAATGTGACAATTCCAATCCATAAATCTATTTATTCTGTGAAATTAATGTAGAACAATTCAACTTATATGTGGTACTTCAGTACCACTAGATGCTACATTGTTTGATTTAAAATCCTGGTTTATCTATCATTTAACTAAAATTCAGGAATGATTTGCTCAGATAAAGCATATCTGTTAAAGCTACCTTGTCTTTTTCTTGGACTCACATACTGAAAACCACAGGAATGTTATAGGAAAGACACCTACAAAATTTAAAAACAGAATTATACATCTTGATTATTTCTTTAAATTGCCAATTCTCTGCAAAATTAATCCAGCAAAATTTCAAACCAATTAAAAAGAAATGAAGTTCCTTATGAAGGTCATAACTTTGGTGACAACTTGGAACCAAACTTTGGATCTGCAGCTGATCCAGACCTAAACAGTTTGCTTATGCCTGATGATTCCATTTATTTGCAGGGCTTTATGGCTACAGCCTATTCTTCACTAATTGCACATATAACAAACATTTGTACATCTTCACCTGCATTGTACTTTCCTTCTATCTCTTTACCTAGTTCACCTCCTAGCAGCTTAAGATCATGATGAACTTCACCAGTTTCTGTCAGCAGGGAAAAGTAACCATCCTGAATGCGTATCAGTTGATAATCATTTCTCTTAATATTTGGAATATCCATGTTGTGAGTAGAAGGGCAAATATCTCCAGGCTTTTTCCACATGAAAATATCATTTCCAACAAGGTGAACCTTGGCCTGACTGTGCTTTCCAGTTTTGGAAGTTGACATCTCCACTATTTTGCATGGTCGTCCTTTGAGCACCACAAAGCCATTTTTGCGCAGGGCTGAGCACTGCATAGGGTAAGTGCTGGAAGCCCCAGCATCTCCAGTGGTGAAATCAATTTCATCCACCATGGTGGGCTGGGGAGATGGTAGCTTTTCCAAGGGAACTTTTAGTGGGGAAAGAGTGCCTTTAGCCTATGCACCTGTGCCAGTCCCTCACAGCTGCCACGACAGTGGTGGTGGCAGCCATAGCAGTTCCCCCTTCACTTCAAGTATGTTTTCCTTTAGTAGATTTTTCTGAGTAAATATTCCTTCATTTGCTGTATGTCCTTAGGACCATCTCTAAAGACTTTCAGTGGCTGGAGTTATTTTTAAAATAATTGTCACCAATCACTGGGGAGTGGATCCATGAAGCCATGCCAGAAGTGGCATGCCTAGCCACTAGTTGCTATTCGAGAAGTTACACTCCAAGCCATTAATTTTGAGGTCATTTGTTATTCAGTGAAAGCTAACAGATACAAGATAATAAGCATAGGCATTTTATAATCTTTGGCATTTACAAAGTCCGAAATATTTGTCCATTTATATTTTCTCTTATTTCTACTGGTTCTTATTTAAGGAGTTTTATTTCCTTTTATGGTTGGTTATGTTTGACCATGTGCTTGTTACTGCTCTTGAAAAACTAATTACAGGAATTTCTTTAGGCCAAGAAAGAATGTGCCATCCCCGAAAGTAGCTTTGCTTCTGCCAGAAGTCTTGGGCCCTACCAGTCACAGACCACCTCAAGCCACATTCACGGCTTAAGGTTGCTTGACTGACTCTGCTAGTCATAATGAGGATGCAAATCTATCCATTCCTTTATCTTCTTTTCTGCTTAGTTCCAAGGCAGCCTTCCCTGCAGGCCCCTGGGTTTGAAGGACTAGGGTATGTCTTAACCTGTTATGTTCTTACCCTGAGGGTGGAGCTCTTTCGGGTCCCAGTGCAATGTGGGAGGTGTCTCCTATTGGGCTTTCCTCCTGTGTCTTGACTTCTGTTGACTTTGCTGATTTCTGCTGAAGTAGAGCCCAATTATGAATACCCCGCAGCAAAAATGATTTTGAGTCTTAAATATTATGATTACCATTCTGATTGCAGGCTTTTCCCCAGAATTTATCCTGGCAGATATTTACTCTTTCCAGTTCTTCAATGCTTTTATGAAGTTTTAAAAAATGAATAAAAAATTTTTTTTTTTTAAAGTAGGAGAGTTGATCCAAATAATCTAGACCACCTGCAGCAGTTACCCTCCATTTGTCCCTCCAAATGCACTGTGCATCTTTTTCCACCCCACCTGTGTGGAATAAGGAGCCCTTGTGGTGCAGTGGTTAAAGCAATTCAACTGCTTAACCAAAAGGTCAGCAGTTCGAAAGCACCAGCGGCTCTGCAGAAGAAAGATGTGGCAGTCTGCTTCCTTAAAGATTTACAGCCTTGTGGAGTCACTATGAGTCAGAATAATTTCAACAGTAGTAGGTTTTGGATGGACTAAATCAAAAGAGCTCCTATACCTTCTGTTGCAATTGTGTTCAGCTAGGGGCAGTCAGCTGAAGATTCGAGGAAGAGTAGAAAGTGGTCAGTGTCTTTATTTACATAAAAACCCTCTTTGTGAGGTTGCCTTGGCTAGGTGTGTCCCTCAGCTGAAGGTCCTTGCTCCTCTCAAAGCAGCCTTATCTCCATGACTCTCTCTTCTTCTATCTTTTCTTGTTCCTTGGAGCCTAGAGGTGGCAAAAGCACTGTTGTTGCTCTTTGTCCCAGGCTCCTGCACTGGGACTTCTGGTTCTCTTACACTCCAATTATACCTTAATAATTAGTTCCTTTGTTTAAAAAAACAAAAACAAAAACAAAAACAAAACTCTAGAGATTATCTTTGTGCCAACTCCAAAGTCCATACTCTTAATGATTGCATTCATTTTTCATCTATATTTATCCTACTATTCAGTCTTTTGTATCTTTAATTCAACTATTATATTTTTCATATGTAATATTTTTTTACTTAGTTTTTTTCTGCAGTTTGTCTTGGGTCTTATTGCTAGTATTTTCTTATACCCATAAGGATTTTGGAAACCCTGGTGGCATAGTGGTTAAGAGTTTGGCTGTTAACCAAAAGTTCAAATCCACCAGCTGCTCCTTGGAAACCCTATGGGGCAGTTCTACTCTGTCTATAGGGTCAATATGAGATGGAATTGACTCAACGGCAATGGGTTTTTTGTTGTTTTTTTTTTAAATAAGGATTTTATCGTGCTTACTTAAAATTTTTGGTATGTCTCTTCCATTAACTATTTCAAATAATGTATGTTGTCTGGTCTGTTGTATTCCTCACGTGGCAGTAAGTTCGCAAGTGTGTAGTTATTTTGACATGTGTTCTCGTATCCCTTAAGGGTTAGCAGCTACTCTGTCACTCTGTCTGGTAATGTGTACCACAGAAGGAATGAAATCATTATGAGTTCAAGAACAGTGACTTCAGAGCAAATGGTCCCAGGCGCCAAAGAACCACTCTTAACTTTTCCTCTGTACCGCTCCCGTATGAGGAAACTTGGAGTTTCAACTTTAAAGCCTTAGAAGAAATCACAGTGGAAGGAGACAGTATCCCCAGATAATAAACTCTCCCCACCCTGGGGGTTGGACGAGGAGGAATAAAGGAACACACACTCAAAGGTAGGTTGCAGGACCACACCCACCCTCATCAATAACTCTCGGTGGCAGGGCCTACACACTGGTTAATATCACTGCCCTGCTACTGTGGCATCTGTTAAAGATTAGGCAACATTTATTAAGGCCATGGGGTGGGAAAAGGCAAGAGGAGAAGATATAAAACACTGTTTTTGAATTGTCACTATCCTCTACCCCCAGCTGCAGCCACTCATCACTCTCACCAACACAGGGAATCAAGAAAAAAAAAAAAAATCCTTCAGTTTCCCCTGGTTTGCTTAATGATTTTAACTGGTTTCTGAAATCCACATTTTCTCTTCACCTTCACAGCTTTTCTATGGTTGATTTTGGGGAGCTAGCAGCCCTCACAAGTAAACCATCTGAAGGCCCTAGAAGACTTCCAATGATGGGTCTGGCGAAACCCACTGCAGGGGCCATTCGCAGCTCCCCCCAGCCCCAGGATCCTTGGCCGTGCAGGTCCACTCTCCACCCTGACCTTGGTCTTGTTATTGGGATCTTCCCTTGCCACTAACCTGAGGGAATTCTGGGCCCATTTGGAACAGCCCAGCCCAAGCCTCCCAAAGACACCTGAGACAGGGCCTGAGGCACCTGGGAGCATCCTGAATTCATGGGGAGAACAAATGCTTCTGAGCTCCCTCCTGTGAATTCCTGTTCCACTACTTATCATTTCTGTACCTTAAACAAGTTACTTAGCCAAGCAAGGCTTCAGGTTCCACATGTGTAAAACAAGACTAAACCTAGATAATAATATTGGGCATTTAGGTTGATTCCAGGTAAGAGGGAAACAGCCTGGGCTGGACCTGTGATTGGGTGGATCTACAGTGTAGACAAGGTGTGCATTTGCATCCACTGAGTTAGAGGAGGTCCAAGGAACTGTATGGAGGGGCAGGCAATGACGTAACTCTATGCTCCATACATACATAGCTCTGTTGGATAGTCTAGACTGTAGCCAAAGCAGAAGCCAGGCCCCCAAACAGAATTCACCACGAGAGAAATCTGCCGAAGCCAGCATGAGGCTAACGTGCGTTGAAGGAAAGTGGCAGTTTTAGGGTCAATAGGGTATCTCATGCTCCAAACATGAACTGACCAAATGCTGACTCCCACTTGAGGAGCCTGAGAAACCATACTGTGGAGCCCCAAACCAAGTTAACCACTGTTATGGTTGAATCACATCCCCCAAAAATATGTGTTGTAAATCCTAACTTCTATGCCTGTGGTGGAGCCCTGGTGAAGCAGTGGTTAAGAGCTTGGCTGCTAACTCAAAAGTCAGCAGTTCAAATTCACCAGCTGCTTCTTGGAAATCCTATGGGGCAGTTCTACTCTGTCCTATAAGGTCACTCTGAGTCAGAATCGACTTGATGGCAAGGGGTTTTATGCCTGTGGTTATAATCTCATTTAGGAATGGATTGTCTTTGTTGTTAATGAGGCAGGAATAGTATAGGGTGTATCTTGAATCAATCTCTTTTGAGATGTCAAAAAGATTAGGATAAACAAGCAGAGATGGGGGAAGAGAGATGACAAACCACCTGAAGATTACCCCGGAGCAGAAGCCCAGAAGAGAGAAAGACCTTCCTCTAGAGCCTATAGAGAAAGTCTTCCCCTGGAGCGGGTACCCTGAATTCAGACATCTAGCCTCCTAAACAGTGAGAAGATAAACTTCTGTTTGTTAAAGCTATCCACTTATGATATTTCTGTTATAGCAGCACTAGAAAACTAAGATAGAATTTGGTACCAGAAGAGTGGGATGCTGCTCTAACAGTTATCTAAAATGAGGAAGCCATTTTGGAATTGGGTAATGGGAAGAGGATGGAGGAGTTTTAAGGTGCCTAATAGTAAAAAGACTCATAGCCTCTTGAGTCTTTGAGTCTTTTACTATTAGGCACTATTAGGGTCGCTATGAGTTGGAATCGACTCGACGGCCACGGGTTTTGTCTTTGTTTTTTTTTTTAATAGTAAAAGACTCAAGGCCCTGGTGGTGCAGTGGTTAAGTGTTTGGCTGCTGTTAAGGTCGGCAGTTCGAATCCACTAGCTGCTCCTTGGAAACCTTACGGGTCACTATTAGTTGGAATAAACTCCACGGCAATAGGTTTGGATTTTTTTTTTTTTTAATAGTGAAAGCCTAGGTTGCCTTGAAGAGACTGTTGGTAGAATTATGGACGTCAAAGGCAATTCTGGTGAGGGCTCAGAAGGAGGTAAGAAGTGCTATAGAGAAAGTCTCTATCATCTTAGAGAATACATATGGCACCGGCAACAGAATGTTGTTAGAAATGTGGACGTTAAATGTGCTTCTTGCTTTAAAAGAAAATGATGAACGTGTGATTGGACAGTGGAGGAAAAGGATGATGACCTTGTGCCTTTTCCACCATTGTACAGTGTCTCCTCAGTGGTCCCTGGTCATCCCCACCCAGATATACCCATGGGAGACAGGTGGCTCTCCCTGCCTAGTGTGGGGACCTCCTTCCTGTACCAAGGAGCTTGAGGCACAGTGGCATGGGGAACAGATTTGACAACTCAGAAACAGGAGCAGAAAGCTTTAACTATCACTTTTTATTTTATCCGCCTTGAGACAGACATGGGTGGAGGCTAGAAGATTGCACTACAGGCCATCCCAGTTTTAAGGAACATGGACAGCAGGAGGAAGGTCTGCGAAAGCACAAGGGCTGTGCAGGTCTGGGGAGTGTTGACAGTGCCCAGAGAGTGAGGGTGGCTCACAGAAGGCGGGGCACCCTGAGGAGGAGCAGATGCAAGATCAGGAATGGGCGTGGACCTTTCGACCTCTTGGATCCATGTGGAGAAGTAGGGCACCCTGGTGAAGACGCTGGGGAATATGGGCTCCCGGCAGTCCAAGCTCCAGCTGGAGAGGCCCATCAGGAACCAGGAATTGTTCACCTGGCAGACGAGGGGGCCCCCAGAGTCTCCCTGAGGAAAGAGAGGGCATCAGTAGTGGGGAACAAGATGAGGGAGGGACACACATTGTTCAGGGAATGGGAAGAAATGACTCCTGTGCTTCTCCAGGATGGAAGGTGGGAAGCAAGCACCATATATCTCTGCAGTCCAAGCCATGGATCTCTTCAGAACCTCCTGGGTGATTTTCAAAAGCATAGACACCAGGATCCCACTAGCAACCTCCTGGATCAAAATCTCAAGAGTAGGGCCCTGGAATCTAGTTTCAAAAAGTTCCCAAGGGACCCTGAGCAGCCCTCAAGGCTGCAGTCACAGTCCTATGAAGTGGACCCCAGGTGTTGGGCACTTGCCCTCTACCCTGCCAATCCCATGCTGGAGGAGGCACACCTGAGCTCTCAGGGAAACAGCTTTGTGGGCAGGGCCTGGGAGTCTTGGGACGGATGCCAGCTCTTACTGAATCCTCCACTCCTACACTGCATCATGCCTGATCCTTTTGTTTTTTACCTTTTCTGGTTGGTTGTTTTTCCTCAATTTCTTGGTTGAGCTATTTTAGAAAGTGCCAAGATGTTGGATGTGCTAAAAGGCGCTGATGCCCATGCCCACCCTGGTGGGGCATCCAGGATTGTGAGGAGCTGCAGGGGTTCCCAGAAGAGTGCTAAGGATGACTAGAGCTACCAGACCAAAAAGTGAGGCTGGAGGACTAGTGTCCCTCTGGTGGGTGGGGCTGAGGCAAGGGCCAGAGGGTAAGCCAGAGCCAGCCATGTGTTCAATTAACATCCTGAGCACTCAGTGCAGGCAGCGCCTGGGAGACACTGAAGGGCCTCACCTACATGAACACAGATAACATATCATACATATCTTCAACAAGACACATGGAAACAGAGTGTGCAGGGTATGGGAGGGGCTAGGAAGGGCTGCTCTGATGGGTGACCAAAGGCAGTTTTACTGAGCCAAGACTGGAAGTATTCACAAAGCCTAACTTCAGAAGATCTAGATGAAGTGCTGGCAGAAGGAGCAGCAAGTGCAAAGATCCCAGGGAGGCTGGCAGGCCTGACAGAAGTAAGCAAGCAGAAAGTGGCATGGCCAGCCATTCTTCATCAGCCAAGGGAGAGTGTGGATTTATCCACAGTGTGAAGGGAACACTGGGAGATACTAGGCAAGGAAGTGATTTGGCCTGATGAAAATTCTAAAGGGACAGTTCTGGGGGATGGGTGGGGCCAGACAGTGTTGGGCACAAGTCAGCAAGGGACAAGAGGTGACTGCAGAAGAGGCTTCGGATGCTGGCAGGAAGTAGTCAGGTCTACGATGGTATTTTGAAGGAAGCACCCACAAGATATGTGATATCTGAAACTTTCTCTCCATTTAAGGGAAATATGGAGAGAGAAGAAAAGAGGGTTAAGTGCCAAATGCTGAGCCCTCCAGTGAGTAGGGGTCAGCAAGAGGAGGATGCTCAGCTTAGGAGAGGGAGCAGGATATACAGTAGGAAGTAGCCCCTGAGACTGATGGAGGACACTTCAGAGGGCCAAAGCCTGCTGAGCACCAGGTGGGAGGAAGTCTAAGGTTCCACCATGGCCTTGATGAGACAGAGGCTGCTGGTTACCCAGTGTCTTAGTCAGGGTTCTCTATAGAAACAGACCCAGTAAGATATATACAGAGAGAGCGAGAGAGATTTATTTTAAAGAATTGGCTCATATGATTTTGAGGACTGGCAAGTCCAAAAAATCTTTAGGTCAGGGGACAGACTGGAGAGTCCACCAGTCTTGTGTCCCCAGATCCACAGGTCAGGCAACAGGAAGAGTGGAGAAGTTCTGGCAAGATGTCTATTTATACTCTGGAGACAGAATATGCTGCAGGGAAAACTCCCTTTATGTTTTTAAGGTCTTCAACTGATTGGATGAAGCCAACTGACATTCTGGAATGTAATATGCTTTACTTAAGGCCAACTGATTTAACCACGTGTAACTACAGGCAAAAAAAAAAAAAACAAAAAAAAACTACAGGCAGTCCCCGACTTTTGAAGAGGTTCCATTCTGACAACTCCGTCATAAGTTGGTTCTGACATAAGTCAAATATCTTTCTTTTTTTTTTAAGTTTTCATTATTGTTGTTGTTAGGTGCCGCTGAGTTGGTTCCAACACATAGCAACCCTATGTACAACAGAATGAAACACTGCCCGGTCCTGCACCATTCTTACAATGCTTGAGCCCATTGTTGCAGCCACTGTGTCAATACATCTCTTTGAGGGTCTTCCTCTTTTTCACTGACCCTCTACTTTACCAAGCATGATGTCCTTCTCCAGGGACTGACCCCTCCTGATAACATGTCCAAAGTATGTGAGATGTAGTCTCACCATCCTTGCTTCTAAGAAGCATTCTGGTTGTAGTTCTTTCGAGACAGATTTGTTCAGTCTTTTGGCAGTCCATGGTATATTCAATATTCTTCACCAACACCACAATTAAAAGGCGTCAATTCTTCTTCAGTCTTCCTTACAAATCTTCTAGCTTTTGCATGGATATGAGGTGATTGAAAACACCATGGTTTGGGTCATGCACACCTTAGTCTTCAAGGTGTTATCTTTGCTTTTCAACACTTTAAAGAGGTCTTTTGCAGCAGATTTGCACAATGCAATGTGTTTTTTCTTTTTTTTTTTCTTCTTCTTATGGAAACCCTCCTGATTTTTTTAAAAAAATTATACTTTAGATGAAGGTTTACAGAACAAACTAGATTCTCATTAAATAGTACATATATTGTTTTATGACACTGGTTAACAACCCCATAACATGTCAGTACTCTCCCTTCTCAACCTTGGATTCCCTATTACCAGCTTTCCTGTTCCCTCTTGCCTTCTAGTCCTTGCCCCTGGGCTGGTGTTCCCCTTTAGTCTCGTTTTGTCCTATGGGTCTGTCTAATCTTTGGCTAAAAGGTGAACCTCTGGAGTGACTTCATTAATGAGCTAAAAGGGTGTCCAAGGGCCATACTCTCAGGGTTTCTTCAGTCTCTGTCAGCCCCGTAAATCTGGTCTTTTTTTGACTCAGAATTTTGTTCTACATTTTTCTCCAGCTCTGTCCAGGACCCTCTATTGTGACCCCAGTCAGAGCAGTCAGTGGTGATAGCCGGGCACCATCTAGTTGTACCGGACTCAGTCTGGTGGAGGCCATGGCAGTTGTGGTCTATTATTAGTCCATTGGACTAATATTTCCCTTGTGTCTTTAGTTTTCTTCATTCTCCCTTGCTGTCGAAGGGGTGAGACCAATGGAGTTTCTTAGATAGCTGCTCACAGCCTTTTAAGACCTCAGATGCTATTCACGAAAGTAGAAGGTAGAGCATTTTCTTTATAAACTATGTTATGTCAACTGAGCTACATGTTTCCTGAGATCATGGTCCCCACAGCCCTCAGCCCAGTAATTCGGTCCCTAAGTGAGTTTGGATTTGTCATGGAGCTTCCATGACCTCACCCTGAACAAGCTGTGCTGGCTTCCCCAGTATTGTGTACTGTCTTACCATTCACTAAAGTTACCACTTATTTATTGTTCAGTGTTTTTCCACCCTCACCCCTACGCTCACTCGTAACCATCAGGGATTGTTTTTTGTGTGTAAGCCTTTTCATCAGTTTTTATAGTAGTGGTCTCAAACAATATTTGTCCTTTTGTGATTGACTTATTTCACTCAGCATAATGCCCTCCAGATTCATCCATGTTGTGAGATGCTTCGAAGATTCATCGTTGTTCATCGTTGCATAGTATTCCATTGTGTATGTACCATAGTTTGTTTAGCCATTCATTTGCTGATGGGGATCTAGGTTGCTTCCATCTTTTTCCTATTGTGAACAATGCTGCAATGAACATGGGTGTGCATATGTCTATTGGTATGATGGCTCTTATTTCTCTAGGATATATTCCAAGGAGTGGGATTGCTGGATCATATGGTATTTCTATTTCTAGCTTTTCAAGGAAGCGGCATCCAAAATGGTAGTACTATTTTGCAACCCACTAGCAATGCATAAAAGTTCCAATCTCCCCGCAGGCGCTCCAAAATTTATTTCCTGTTTTTTTGATTCGTGCCAGTAATGCCAGGATGAGATGGTATCTCATCGTGGTTTTGATTTGCACTTCTCTAATGTCTAATGATCACAAACATTTCCTCATGTGTCTGTTAGCCATTAGCCACTTGAATGTCTTCTTTGGTGAAGTGTCAGTTCATTTCCTTTGCCCATTTTTTAATTGGATTGTTTGTCTTTTTGTTGTAGAGGTGTTAGATTTTACTGTAGATTTTAGAGATTAGACTTCTGTTGTATTTTTAATAGCCAATTTTTTTTTCCCCATCTGTAGGTTCTCTTTTTACTCTTTTGGTGAAATCTTCTGATGAGCATAAGTGTTTAATTTTTAGAAGATCCCAGTTATCTAGCTTATCTTCTGGAGTTTCTATGTTTTTAGTTATGGTTTGTATCTTGTTAATGCCCTGTATTAGGGTCTCTACCTTTGATCCTGTTTTTTCTTCTATGATCTTCATAGTTTTGGGTTTAATATTTAGGTCTTTGCTCCATTTTGAGTTAGTTTTTGTGTATGGTGTTAGGTATGGGTCCTGTTTCATTTATTTACAGATGGACATCCAGTTTTGCCAGCACCATTTGTTAAAAAGACTTCTTTTCCCCATTTGATGGACTTTGGTCCCTTGTTGAAGATCAGGTGACTGTAGGTGGATGGATTTACATCTGGGTTCTCGCATCTGTTCCGTTGGTCAATGTATCTGTCATTGTACCAGTATCAGGCTGTTTTGACTACCGTAGCTGTCTAGTAGGTTCTGAGGTCAAGTAGTGCGAGTCCTCCTACTTTATTCTTCTTCTTCAATAATGCTTTAACTATCAGGGGCCTCTTCCCTTTCCATATAAAGTTAATGATTGTTTTTTCCATCTCTTTAAAGAATATTGTTGGTATTTGGATAGGAATTGCACTGTATTTGTAGACTGCTTTCGGTAGAATTGTCATTTTCACAATGTTGAGTCTACCTATCCATGAG